GATGGGCATGAACTTCCCATCTGATGTGAAGAACTGTGGTTGTGGATGTAGCTGCTGCCTAAGGGAGTCACTTGAGCATCTCAGTGGGAACATCTTCACAAGGAGATGGCACCGCGGGGACCTGGGCAGGCTGTGCTGGGGGGTCTGGCTCTGATAACAAGGTGCCCGTGTTTGCCAAGGCAGCTCCTCCTTGGAGCACAACCATCTCCCTGGCTTCAGTGTGTGAACTGCCTGGTGCAGTCGCAGGGCAAACCTCTCCGTGAATTATAGTGATGACTTTGGAACTTCAAAGCTGAAAGCATTTTGGACCTGCAGAGCACATGATTTGAGAAGGTGGGAGACCTCTGGATGACTTATTTCTCTTCAGTGTTGTTTTGGGCACAAACACAGCCTGTGTCCGTCTGTACGTGCAGGGTTACAAAGCTCTGCCACTCCGTTCTCAGAGGCACTAATGGTGCTGGGGATTTAGTCCATCCCAGTGCTCGAGGGCTCTGCGGCAAATTAACTAAAGATCAGCTTCACTTTTCTTTTCCAAAAAACGTTTCTGAATATTGCAAGGAAACTGCTCTGAACAGCTGGCTTTCCAAGAACGTGCCCTGCCTTGGGGTGGAGAGGTTGCAGTGTGCTTCCAGCCGGAGCTGTGTGCTCTGGCCATGTCGGAGCAAGGAAATGAATGAGTGCAATGACCCGTGAGCAGGATGACCCACTCCCTGCCCTCTCTGCAGGAAGCTTTGAAGCTGGAGGGGTGGGGAATCGGCGACTGCTCGGGACCCTGGCACCAGCGACGCATCGGAGCGGGTGTACGTGAGGGGGCACAGCCATCTCTGTACGCTCTCCATTGCCTCTTGGCTGGTTTCACCCTGGAGCGTTCCCACTGTGCTCCTCGGGTCCCGTGTTTGCAGACCTCCAGTCTCTCTGGTAGCGCTTTGTTTGGCTGGAGTTGCCAGGAGGCTCATCTGTTTCCGACCGTTGCCCGCACGATCGGTCTGGCTGTACGATGGCTTTGCCAGCTGCTTGCTGCCTCCTTCCCATCGCTCTTTGCAGGCTCGATCCCTACTTTGTTTGCACCGGCTCTTTGATGAAAGACTTTCCTGTGTAATTAAATGCCCCGATTAGTTTTGATCAAATAGCAAACTTCCTTTCATCTCATCTTGCACCGGCTGAAGGTCTCTGCAGGTAAGCTCGGCCAGGTGTGCTGCAGCGCATCAGCTCTTTGTGTCCTTGGGAGCCTCATCCCAGGGCTTTGGCAGCGTCTGCGCGCACACATCCTTTTAAGATGACAGCCTCCGGAAAGATCATAGCCGAGTCATTCGTGTGGACCTGAGCCAAGTAACCCAAAAGTCAGTTACAGGTTCTCTCCTTGACTGGCTCCATTATGAAAGGCAGAAACCAAAACCGACCTCGTGCCAGGCCAGTTAAGGTGGGAGCGGCTGCTCCCACAGGGCTCCCTTTGCTTTGCTCACAGTGGGAGATGTGTTTCACTTGGTGGTTGGAAGGCTGACTCTGAGAACCACTCTGGGGTGTGGGGTTTACCAGTAAGGTCAGTGGGACTGTGGGATGAGGGTGAGTTACGCAGGGACAAAGAGCTCCTGCAGAATCACACCCAAAATTATAGGTAGTGCTCGGATCCTGCTTCCTGTGCTGGTGGCAGGTGACAATCAAACATCAAGTCTGGAGTTTGGTTTACCTTGTTGGATCTCTGTTTCTTCCTCCTGCCTGTTGGTGTTTGTGGGCAAGTGCTGGGCATTGGTGGGGCTGCCCCAGGCTCCCCCTGGGCTGTGCCTGTGTTCAGGCTAGTTACTGGTACTGGGGCTCTTGCTCTTGTCCAGTTGATACCCGGCTCCTGAAACAGAGGACCTACTGTTCCTGAGAGCCTCCGCCAGCCTGGACTGCAAACTAACAGGCCTCTGATGTGGGGAAGACCCTGAATCACCCACAGCCTCGGCAGCAGGCTCGGCTTACCTTCACCCCGCAGGGATGATGGAAGGAGAAGATCATCACCGGGTTAGCTCACTGGCCACAAGGACAGAAATCCTTGAGGCATTTGCAGAGCAGTTGCAGAAGCTTTGGGCTCCCAGCAGAAGGCTGTATCTCCCTGAGTGTGGCCTAGAGACTTCGTTTTGGGGACTGCCTGGAGACGACTCCATGCCTGGGATCTGCAGAACCTCACAATGTCCATGTCTTTCTGGAGAAGGCTGTCGTGGTTGTGTGACCCACACTGGCTGGTCTCTCCCATCCTTGCAGAGGAGCAGAGAAGATCCAGGAAAAGCTCCTCTGGTGACTAAAGGGCTGGAATAGCTTTTGACATGGAGAAGGTAACTGGACGTGGTGTCCTCACCTTGGAAAAGAGCTACCTTCAGAGCGAAGCATTAGACCGGGGCTGCACTGAAGTAAGCACGTGGGAAATGTGTATTGACCATGTCATTGCAGCTGGTTCTGGGGAACACTACATGAAGTTGAAAGCCCACCAGAAAGAAGATCTTTCCCTCTAGGTACACCAGGAAGCTGTGGAGCCCACGGCTACAGGGAGGGCAAAAATGTGGATGGGCTGCAGCAGTGATTAGATGATTTGTTGACCACAAGAATGAGGATGTGCCATCTGGCGGCCCTGAACACCAGCTCACCAGAAGCTGGGCAGGCTCCATGTCTCGCTGAGTCCATCCCAGCCTGCCCTTGCCCTGCCTGACCAGCTGCGTGGGGCACCGGCGAGGACAGGGCAGGAACCTGCGTGTCCTCCTGCCCCAGCACGATGTGTGATGTGCCAGCCCAGCAATACTTAAAACTGTCCACAAGAGTCACTGTTGCTTTATCTAAGGAGCTTCCATTCCTTCTGCTTGTGAACTGCCCGATGTCGGGTCTCTATCTGTGACGTTTTTCCTGCGCCCCAACAAACGCGGGCAGGGAGCTGTGGGGGTGCAGGTTGCCGAGGAGGATGATGAAGGAGGGCTGGCGCGTTGCGAGGGCGCCTGTTGCTGTGTGCTGGTTATTTCTGGGCAGAGCTCCCAGCGGACAGCCCTCACCTTCCCTGCCTGCACCGCAGCGCTTGTGCTTGGCTCTTGGATTTGCCCAGGGAGCGCGGCGTGTGCTCCGCAGACGCGTGGCCCGAATTAACCTCTCTGCAAATGGTTTCCAAGTAACAGCAAGTACATGCAGCCAGATAAACTGTGAAGCCTATTTATATTTACTGAGATGGTGTTAACCTTTGAAAGGTTGACCTTACGCAAGGAAAGAAGAAAAGATAAAGGGGCAAAAACATTTAGGGCGTGAGGGGGTTGTGTTGTTGTTTTTAATCCTTTCACTCTTTGATTGCTTCAGCCTTGGTGGTGGTAAACACGCGCCGACGTTTAAGGC